GAAAGAAGGGGGTCCTGAATATCATTATCTTAGGAAAAAAAAAAAAAAAAAAAGAGAGTGAGATGAGAAATCAGTGCCATGTCCTCTCCTACACCCCCTCTCATGATCCCACTAGCCTCCAGCATCCTCTGCCGTATGGGGGGGGGGATTTGCCGGATGAAGAAGTAACTGGGTACCACTGAAAAACTGCACAGCCCAGCTCCCGGTCAGCGACGGGTCGACTGCAGCTATCTGTAGCACTACTGATGTTATCACTGTACCATCCTGCACTACAACGAGCGAACGAACGAAAGGACAATCAAGTTTGGGAGAGGCGACGCGCATAAAGCCACTTTTTCTCACCGGTTGTTACGCTTTCTGCCAAATTCTCTCTGTTCACACACTCACGCGAATCTTCGCAGAAGAACAGGCCGAACGTCAGTAAAACTGCCAACCACAGACCACTTCTACCACCGCACGCTCGCTGGCGTCTTCCTTCGCTCATCACCGGACCACGCGGCGAACATCGAGTGGCTAAGTTTACATACGAATCAACCTCCGGAGGTTTGTAGCTGTTTGGTGTGCGTGCAGAGGAGCACGCGGCGCGGACAGTCGGGCGAGTGTATGTGGCGCAGTTTAGTCGGAGGATTTATCAAGGCGGTTCGTACGCCAACGTCGAACTTTTGATCCATTTCAGGTGGTTTTACTCACTGAACTGTAGTCAACCCCACATCACTGCAAATGACACAATTTAAACAATGAAAAACGACAACAACAAAAAATCCACACGGCATCCATTCCGCCATCTCATGTCAACATGTTGCCTTACTTGAATTGTTCTTAATGATCTCTTGTGTACAGAGCTGCTTGTGTCTTGCTTTACTCATTAACCCACGCAGGCCTGGACACGCATTAAAAACCACTAAAATCCTGCTCCAGTGTTTTTTGTTTTTGTTTTTGTTTTTTTCCCTTCTCTCATTCCCCTTCCCACCGCTGCCGTGTTCTGATTCGTTCCCTCTCCAAACTGCACGTGCCCAGTTGAATTAGATCAGAACATGAACTGCAGTCGAGTATGAATGTTTGTTGATGATATAATTAATCTGCCTAATTGTTCATTTTTAGTTAGTTTTCTGATTCAAGTGGCCAATGGGATGACGCCTCTACAGTAAATATCTTACATTTGGATGAAAGGAGAAAAAAAAGGGGTTTTAGCTACAAAGTTTCCACAAAGCTGTGAAACTCAAACCTTTGGGTCCAATCGTGCTTCCTGAGGAAAATCTGCATTCTGTGTTTACAACTTTTTAAAGAATTGCATTCGTTATTCTTATTCTACTAAATATTATTAATAATTATTATTATTGGACAGGTCAGACATGCCCTGTGATGCTTTAATAGCGCTGCCTGTCCTGATCTTTGATGCTGAGAAGTGTTTGTGGATGAGAAAGCAGTAACAGAATAGTATGAAAGTATAGAAACGACAAGCCAAGAGCCGCTGCGTTTAGAGACTTATAATAATTAATAAATGAATAAACATGAGGGTATTTTTTTGTTTTGTATTGTCTTCCATTTTTTACCCACCCCCCCCTTTTTTTTTTTTCCCCCTGTATCAGATGTGGAAATCAGGCATCCGTGATTTGTTTTCCTCTTCTCAGATTTTACTTTTTTCATGATTTCACTGCCTTTAATGCCTCTAGCATCTTTTCTTCCTTTCTTTTTTCTTTTCTTTTCTTTTTTTTTTTACCTCCTGTCATCATGCTGCTGTTCGTAAAATGTCGCACATCTCAAGAGGAGCGCGTTTCCCTCCCCGGCTCCACAGAGAACCAGGAGGTGACATTACTCCTGCCATCTTCATCTTTCGCCCTCTTCCTCATTTATTAACAGAAGCATTAACAGAAAATGTGAATCCATCTCTAGATCTCAAAATAAAAGTCCGACAGGATATCAAGCCCATGACGCTTTGTATAATTTTCTGTGTATGTGTGTATATTCTTCAGATTGAAACCATTATTATTATTATGATTATTATTATTATTATGATTATTATTATTATTATTGCGAGAGGTTTGTTTTACAGCCAAAGCATGTAACATTGTTGCTTTAAGCCCTTCGAATGGGCTACACACAAGACTTGACTGTACGATGTCTACATTTCCACAGTGGCCTGTTATTGATATAATATTTAAAAAAACAAACAAAAAAAGGAACTCAAAGTTATAATTTGTAGCCTGATTCCCTCTGTACAGACATCATGACTATATTGAAATATATGAATACATACAGTATATATTTAACACAAACTTGAGTTGTGATGAGTCGGGGCGTAGAGTATGTACAAAATGCTGAGTGTGTATTGTACTTATTGTTTCATCTTTTTAATGGTTTACTTTTGTTGCTTTAAGACGACTGTACAGTGATGTATTAAACTTTGCAAGCATTACCATAGAAGCTTTGTGGCTTTATTTGTGCCGGATAAAAAAAATAAGAAGGAAATCACCTGGAAAGTACAAACTCAGTAATGAATTAATGTTATTAAAGGCGACCTGCTCCACTTTTAAGCTGTTTCTCTGTCAGATACAAGCTCTTACAGTGACTTTTTTAAATTTTATTTTTTTGTACCTGTATGATGTCAGAAAGAAGGGGGTCCTGAATATCATTATCTTAGGCACAGAAGCTCCACCCACCTGCTGTTCAAACCTTCTGTTTGCAAGTTGCAGTCAATCAGAAAAAAGTTGGGTTAAAGGGGGAGGAGCTAAAAGGTCCAGTGTGAATCAAGCCTGCTGCTGTAGTGGAGGATATGCTGGAAATGAACAGGTTCAATTACCTGTGTATCCAAACCCTGATGCAGCTGTGAACGGGAGAGAAAAACAAAGTATGCAGGTGTACGGAGAGGCACGGATGATCTGTCTTCTTAACGCTGGATTATCAGCCTGTCTGGAGTGAACTTTGCTTCTTGTCCATTGTTTGGATGAGCTCCAGCCTCACCTGTTATCCTACTTGGACAGGTGATTAGGAAGTTGGTGGTTGAATGCACTGGTCTGACTGGCTTTTCTCTTTAAGAAATTGGTCCCTTTTCATTGGGTTGAATTAAAGAGTTATGGCTGCTGTAGAGATGAATATGGCAAAGCCTCGGGGCTAGTTCAGCTACACTGCCTCAAACACACGAATGGTTTGAAACATTGAGAGATGCTGTGTTGTAGTTTTTGTTTTGTTTTTTTTTCCTCTAGATGATGAAGCTGAAATGCTCTCAGACCGGGTGGAGGTCAAAATGAAGGCGCCAGCGTCTCCTGGTGTTTAAACCAAAATAAATCTGTATCTGTGAAACTGAGTTTTCGAGTCAGCAGAGGCAGAAAATTTAATAAAACAAATTGATTTTTCTGCAGCCCATCAGCTGAGATTGTCATATGTACATCATGGGCATGAATGTCATAATTTTGGGCTCTTGATGAGTTCTTCTTTTTCTAGGGTTGGGATGATTGTACAGCATCTTTAATCATTTTAAAAAACAAGAATTAGGTGCGCTTGAATTTATGTTGGATTTTCTCTAATCCACCCAAGGCTAAAATGTATCCGCCTTTATCTACTTAAAAAGAATAATAATTGTGTGTTCAGCATCATTAGTGTGTTGGAAGATCTGTGTCCACGTTTCAACTGTCTATCTCTTGATTTGAGGGGTAGTCTTTCTTTATTATTCCACCACTTTGCGTCATGTACCAGTACCACAGGCAGCAAAACGGCCCAAAAGCATGATTCTACCACCACCATGCTTGACAACTGGTACAGTGTTCTTTGAAAGCCTCACATTTACTCCTCTAACCAAAAAGCTCAGTTTTTTCTCCTGAAGGCGTTTGGCTTGTGTGGGCAGCCGAGTCGAGCTTGAAGATGACGATTTTGGAGTAGGGGCTTCTTTCTTGGTTGGCACCCTCTAATAACTCCTGCAAAACCGTTCCGGGAGTTCCCAATTCAGGGCAGGCTTGAGCTTCAGTGGCTCCTGGATTGTTCCTGAACAACCTAACCAGCTTCCTCTCATCTGAGGATGGCAGTCCAGGTCTTCTTCCAGATCTTGGTAAAGTGGAGACATATGAACTCCACAGTTTCAACAAATATTTAATTATCATATTTACTCAAGATTAATATAACTTTTTATCAAAAGCCCTGAATGTGGAACATTTGTCCTCCATAATCCTCCCTAGGGTGGATTTGAGTTGGACACATCCCTTATTAACACACCAGATCAGAGGTTTGCAGCGCTGCATACCTACCCACTCATTTTGGTCCAATGTCAGAAATTGTAAAGCAACTTTGACATTTAATCTTAAAGAACTGCGTTGCAGGTTTCCTGTCAGTGATAGATTATGTCTTCAGGTGTAGTTTTGAAGCAGTAACACACCTGAGAGTAAACCTGCAAAATCACCCTGTGATGCAGGACGCATGACCCAGTCATGACTTAAACTTTTCTCCTTTGAGTTTTCTGTCCTTGTGCAGGTGATGATGATATCTTCCTCCTTTGTATTCAGGCCACGTGGATGCAATTACTGTGTCCCTGACCTACATATAAGATGAGCTGTGCAGGCAAACCTTTCAGTTAACATCTGATTTTTGGAGAAGCTCATCCTGGCATCAGGAAAGAGGAGGACGCAGCCAGCGTTTCACAAACCAAACACCAGTTTGTCTTTTTTGTCATAATTCAATTTATTTGTTTCAGTCAAAAGCACGTCAGTAGAGTGATTTGATTAGTTTAGAAAACTTACATTCGTCTAAATGGAAAAATAGATCTCTCTTAGAATAAAGAATCAATCATTCAATAATCAGCATGACTGAAAAATAAAATAAAATAAAATAAAAACAACTCATCTTCCCTTCACCGTAAACTTTGAAACACAGAAGATGACAGCGGTTCAGAAGCAGCAGATAAAGACAAACAGCAAATCGTCAGGTCCTTCATCGCCCTATCACTCACTTGGATTTTCAGTCACATCGACCTACAGAGGAAAACTGGTCTGACTCTCCATGTATGGGCTCAAATTGTGATCATAAAAATTTTGTACATATTGTGTATGATCAGAGATTGGTCAATAAGATTATTCAAAAGCAGCAAGTTAACTGCACTGCCGCACTCAAACCACCGGGGGGCAGCACAATCAAGGCACATGAAACTACCACAGAAACATTTGACTGCACTAAAAAAAAAATTTAAAAATTTAAAAAAAAAAAAAAAAGATGTAAGTGCTCTAATGGACTCTGCATTAGAAAAAAAATTAAATGTTACATAATGTTTCAGACAGAGCAGAAAACCTGCTGCTGCTTAAGAGCAGGTTTATTTTTCTTCTAAATTTAGTCAAATTTCCAGATAATTGAACATCATCATAGCAGGTTGATCCTGCTTCATCCTCCAGCTGGACCGAGCAGGTTTCCAGCACGATTGAATAAACTTAAATTAGGGCCCGTGATTCACTTACATTATGGAAGCACAACCTCGACGTCCCACGAAGGCTTTAACGTGGCGTTGGCAACAAGCGTACGTTGTGCAAAAAACACGGAAGAGGGAACAAATTTTGGTCTCTAACGATTGAGCCTTTGCAGATTCAAACAGTCGTTGGCGTGTTGAATAAAACATGGAAACATCAGCATGTTTACTGCGACTCTGTAGGCACATCGAAGCTCCACAACTTTCCTTCTTATGTGGACTTAAAGATCACCGTCGCCTCTCCCCTCCCTCATTTTACTGCTCAGCTTGAAGTGAAACACGTCCTCCTCTGACTCACTGCATCTGAACAGTCTACTAATGTTCCCCAATGATTTCCCGGGGTGAGGGGGAAGGAACACAACACCGCCCACCTCATGCAGCATTTAACAAGTCAATATCTCCCCCTTCTCCTCCTCCATGTCCACTCTCTCACACTCTGTGTAACCAGCTCCACCCAAAACCCCTGTTTAAGGCTCCTCAGTGTTCAAACATTTTGAAATCTGCAGTCATTTTCTCTGTGATTTAAAGCTCAATGCTAAGGACACCTCGGTGATGATAAATCTGCCACTGTGTGCGCGCTGTGACTGCTCTGCAGTGGCACCGAAAGCAACAAATAGATGGATGAAAACAGAAGAAGATGATGGGTGCTATGGTGAGGATGACGGGATGGCAGAGAGCGAGGCAAGGGGGAAAAAAATACAAACAGAAGCATCACGTAAGTGAGGAGGAGCAGAGCCACAGCTGTTTGAGGGAGAAACTCCACCCGCGAGCACTTAAACACTTGCTGGAGGTGCAGTGGTTTTTCTAAACGGGCAAAGAGCTCTGCGGCTTTTAAGGTCCAGCATGCAGCACAACGACACGGCTGAGGGAGTTTTGTTTGTTGCGAGCGTAAAAACAAATCTGGCTTAATCAGAATTCACATCCACACAAAATGTGCCTGTGAACATTTTTCACTGGAGCGGTTTCATCCTGCAAAAACAAAAAAAACAGACACAAAAACTGAAAACTGTCGCAAGTGAAGATGGAAGCGCAGCAATCGCCTCACAGATTTCACAACCTGTTTATGTCAACAAAACCTCTAACGAATTTTCCTCCTCCGTTTTCCTGCCGCTTTATGAAAATCTCGTGCCAAAAGAAAGTCTGAGTCACGACGGAAATATGAACGTGAAAACGGTGCCAAAGCTGTGTGAGATTTCTGTGGGTGTGACCGCTTGTTTAGTGTGTTTTAAGGTGGATTGCTTCTTTACATTCACTCTCACCTGTCGCCATCAGTGACCCCAGCTCTAACCTGTGATTCACTTAAACGATGGAATACATATTCGTATTTGTATTCTATTAAATTTGGCAATCAGGGAACAACTCTCCCCCAGATGAGTCTGGATCCACGGATGCCAGGCAGCAGCTTCCACAGCTGAAAGTCAATTTCCCAACGTTCCAGTAGGACTTCTACTTAAATTTTGGTTTGATTCACTTGCTGAGGCCCACACAGCCTCTAGGCTGGATGAAGATATGTTGGACGCAATTCTGCTTGGACAAGTTAACGTGGCTGGTTTAAAAATCGGGAACTGGGGAGGCTGAATGTGTGAAATGACCCTTTAGTGCTTTCAAGAAACAGGATCAAGTTAACAAGTTTAAGGCAACAATGAGAAACTCTTCAGAGAGCGAAACAACGTGACAGCCTCTGATCAGAAACCAGGAACGCTGGTGCAGGAGCGCCCCACGAAGCTCTAATACATGATAAAATAAATATAAATAACTTAAATATAAATACTTTTATCTAATGATTATTTATACAATGTGCTTAGCTGGGGTTCACTTTAAGATAACATGAAGAAAAAGACGTTTTCCTGCCTTGGCGTCGCCCATGACACAGACGAGCACCTTCCCTCCTGAAGGTCACGTCCATAAAGGCTTTCATTTACGAGTTTCAGCCTCTCTCACACAAACAGACACAAACACGCTGCACTGCAGAGGAGTGTAAAGGCCAGTGAAAACTAATCCCCCGTCGTTGCATAAGATGCTGTAATTCTGGCTGATGTGTTTGCTGCAACGCAGACAAACATCGCTGTTCGTGCAGCCGCGATGAAACGAGACGCCGGGAAAAAGATGGTGATGGATTTTCGTTCTCCGGAGGCTGAACGTTTGATGAATGGATGATGAAACGTGCGGGTCTTTATGTGTTTGTGTTTTAGCTCAAATGAGGCAGGACTACCGTCAGTTCACACAGTCATGGCTTCGGAGTGTTCAGTATTAAATTAACAGTCACATTAAATAAACGGAATTAAAAACCTAATGATGCTTAATACTTTTAAATGAAATCTTTTCACAATAACAGCCTGTTACATCAGATCTTTTTGAATTGTTTGTGCTACTAAATTAATGTTTATTTCCTCTTTTTTCAAATGTTGTAAAACAAAACAAAAACCATTAAAGAAACATATTCACAGACTTCAGGAAGTGAGGAAAAACTAAGCTGAACACTCAGTTTGAGACATTTGTTTCTCTACTCTTGAATCTTTCTGATGTCGTCGAGCAGTTTTAAGGGAAGGGAAGCTAACTGTGAATAATAAAAAGGTCAGTTTTGGCTGTTCCCAAATCTCACACAGGGCTTTACGCATGTTTAGAGATTTGTGTCTCTTCCTGGAATTAGAACTGGGGCGTGTAAACCACTACACTGTGGAGCCACTGATGTTACTCTAGTATGGAGCTTGAAATGAGCCAATTACATCAACTTTGAACGGACTCCGTTTGTGTTGCTTTACAGGTCAAAATATCTGTACTAAAATCTCTTATTGTGAAAAGAATGTTTAATAATAAAATATCAAGCTAAGCTTGAATAAAAAAAGTCATTTTAGTGTAATTCATGGCATTATTTTGAGTTTTTTTTCATTATTTGTCTAATACTGAACACTCCGCTCATGGCATTTTAATGTAATAACATCAGGAGGCTTGAATCCGCTGCTTTGCTCCTGCAGCTGCACAGCTCCTGATGCGACAGGTGAAACACATTTATTGTTAAACGCCGTCACAGAGCAGAGATGAAAGCGGGCAGTCGAGATTGTTCAGTCTCATCCAGTGATTAACCTCGACAGGCCTCTGTGCACCTCAGCCTGTACTGGGCCGTACTCCACCACCTCTCCGTCTACTGTAATTATTCCTTTGGGCGAGTACGGCTCCAGTCTGAGCGCCCGCACCTTAGTGTACACCAGATGTTGGCAGTTAGTAGTCAGATGTGCACCCTTCTCCATAGCTAGGAACAGCCTCAGCAGCGCGGTGGGCGATATCCCCGCTCTAACGTAAAAAAGATGAATGACGCCGTCGTCCGGGGTGGCCTCCGGTGCCGCCAGGAGATCCTCTGCCAGGTGGGATTGGTACATGGCCAGCATGAGGACAAAGTCTTCCTCCGGGACCACCACCCAGTCGTCGGGCAGCGGCTGATCCAGAGGTGGCAGCAGGGAATCGTGTGGGCCGGGGAGGGCTTTGGTGGCGCTTCGGGAAGGCGTGCTCTCCACCCGCCTCACTTTGAGGGAGTTGTTGGAGTGGCAGGAGTTGTGGAAGGAGGAGTCTCTAACAGCAGGTAGTGTCACAGGGGGGACCCGATCCTTGCAGAGCATTGTGTTACTCCTCAAAGCCTCCTCGTTGTTGTGGTCCTTGGTGGCGGGCAGGTAAGCCAGCCTGCCCTTATAGACACGGAGAGAGGCCAGCCGCACCAGCGTGCCAATGGTGAAGCGGACGGTGCCAAAGTGACGGTACTTCTCGCTCTCTATATCGACGTCCGCTACAAAGCCCCAGGCCAGAGACAGGAAGGAGAAGAGACGGGGGCTGGAGGAGAGATGGACGGAGACCATATCCATGTGGGACACCAGACCTTTGCAGAGCAGGAAGCCACAGCTGACCAGGAGCTCCTCGCTGGTCACAGGAGAGGCTCTGCAGGAGGAGAGGGGACATTTAAACACTTCATGGCAGCTCCTGCTTTCAGACACGACCACAGTTGGGCTGAAACAACCACATGAATAAATTATAAGTGATTTGCAAGTAAATTATTTAGGAAGTATTGTGGTGATTAACTAATGTCGTTGTTAACTGTACATCTTCAGCTGTTGGATAAATGTGATTTTTAACAATAACAACTCACAACAATATATCCGTTAATCAAGAAAGCAGTGTGCATATTATTAAATAATCAGAATATTCAGCCTTAAAGTAAATATACGACAAGATTTTGAAATGTTGACATGTAAATATGCAAGTTAGACATTTAAAAACCCAAAGACCACTTATATTTGTTTTATTGCTACAGCTTAATTTAGAAATCACCTCTACAGGCCATATTCTCCTTGTGTTTTTTGTTCTGTACAAGCACATTTATGCATTTCCTGCTGCACACTCAGTCACATGGGAGGGGAGCAGGTTTAAGGGTTCAGCATTTTGCCCAAGGACACGTCAACATGCAAACTGTGGAGGTGGAGATCTCCTCCACAGACTTACTGCGAAATGACCTGCTCTACCTCCTGATCCACAATCCAAGCTTTATTTATAAAAAGAGAAACATCCACCACAGAACAGCTTCCATTCTGGTTCCATTTAATCATTATTTGCAATGAAATCTATTTAAATGTGAGCGACAGGCTTTTGTAAAGCAGAGGCGTCTGATCCAAACTGGAAACAAATCTAGACCCTCAACTAAAGCTGATTTTCAGTGTTGATTTATGTTTCAGTTCATAAAATATCAAAAACAAATCATTTGAGACTCTGCAGACAGCTAGTTTCCCCTCATCAGTCTGGCAGGAGGAGGCAGTTAAAAATCTGGTTTCAAACACAAGATAAAGACACCAAAATAAAACAAAAAGGCTCCTTCTGTATTTTTAGGAAGTGGGTCAAGGCATCCTTGTGTTTTTGTAAGTGAACTTTAAAAAGTGGCGTTATGCAATACAGGGCTAACAGTGACCTTGTTGTGCTATCTGAAATCACTGAGGTGGGGGAGAGAAGAGGTGGAGCCCCTACAAAGCTCAGAGGGTGGGGGTGTAGGCGAAGGACAGTGTGGGCCTTCAGATAACAAAGACGACCCCATCTGGGAGAACGGATACAGAGGTGGAAGGTCACGTTAACACGCACCCACAGATTTGCCGGCTGTTACAGCCAACGGCCAATTACAGCGAGGACTGGACGTCTCAGCGGAGCTCAGATATCTCCATATTCAACATCCTGAATTTATTCATCAGTCTAGCTTTCCAAACAAACTCATCTACATTTTCACAGCTCTATTACTGTATAATCACGCTCTGGTAAAAAGGTCAAGAAATAATCTGATTATAAGGCGATTTCCAGCTCATCCTGCTTCGCCTCTCAGTTTTATGTTTTAAAAGGTATTAATTCAATTTATAGAGCACCGAACCACAACATGATTTATAGACGTGCTCTTGGATTGTTTGGGGTAATAAAGAGCAAAGAAATAAACCTTTGTGAGCAGCGTGCAACTGTGTGCAGATTTCAGCAACATTTATTTCAGAGAGATAGTTCTGTCAATGTCAGAAGAAAGAGCAAGACGCGATCAGAGAGCAGCAGGATGCTGTTTGTAGCATAAAAATGTCAAACATTTAGCAACATGTTAGCAACAATGAGGTGAAATAAAGCAGGTTAACAAGAGAGATTCAAATACCCAAAAAACTGAATGCCTACCCAACGAACGAATATTGAATAGTCAAATATTTGGCCAATCATGGTACACGATCTTAAGTTTAGTGATTTACCTAACAAATGAAAGCTCACCGGTTTGATCCCAGGAGGAGACACAAATCCCTTTGGGGTTGCGCCAGAAAGGCCATCTGATGTCAAAAAACAAAAACAGATAGAACATGTGGAGCTACCTGCCTACCTTGTGAATAGGGAACCAGCCAAAGGTAGCTCTTCATTGTACAATACCTTAAAGTATAGAGTAAGTGCACAGCAACAATGTGGAGGAGAAGCTCAGTGTTAACAGAAAGAAGCTTCAGATGGAGGCTCAAGAACGGCAGCCATCTTCCTTTGCTTTTTGTCCGTTGATGTCAGTCAAAGTGTCTTAAAGGTGTTTAGCAGATAAGTCATCGCTTGAGTTTAATCTGAGAACTACTGTTTCTGTGGTGTTGTGCGCAGCCGTAATCACTGTGTGTGAAGTGGACAGAAACATGAATGAAAACAGAAGGGGTCCCAGTATGCAGCCTTGAGGAACACCGAGGTTAAACTGCATTTATTGTCCACATTTCAATGCACTAATTTCTCTCCTATATTAAACATGCAGTGACATTAACTATAACACACACTCTTCTGCTCACTGATGATGCATCAAGGTCTATTTGTGGGGCTCACTCATGGATAAGAATATATAAAAATAACCTCCTGGATCACTTGACCTGTGTAAACATTTCCTAATTGCTTTGGGTTCTCAATCACTAGTTTAAAATCTCATTGATTACAACTAATAGATTCGATTAGAGTCCAAAAGATTAGTCCAAAAGAAGTATAAAAGTAGAACTGCACTAAAAATGTGCTTTATCCTCTTAGACTTTGACTTACATATTTATTCACATTTTACAACACAATCATCCCACAGTATTCAAAAACTAACTCATCAGGAAAGTGTGAAATTAAGTCATGGATAGAGGGAGCCAATGGGCCGTTTTCCATATCTATCCATCTTTTATTTACAGTCAGTAGGTCTGAATGTTAGTGTAGCTCACTGAAGTGGTTGGTCTCTTTCAAACTGGAATAATGGTGGTAGCTTTGAAGCATTGGTAGACCACAGCCCGTGACAGACACATATTGAAGCTGCTGGTGTTAGTTAAGCGGCGAAGCCTTGCTGCACCCATCCAGGACTCCTGTCAGGGCCTGCCGCTTCCGCGGAGTCTTCTGTCATGTGTCCACAGCATCAGTGGTGCGCCTGGCGCTGTGGGCTTTGCTCTTTATGTCATTTCCTTGTTATTCCTGTCAGAGTGGGCAATAAATCTGTTGCTCTCTTGATGGGATGACGGATGTGGTGGGGGTGGTACCGTTGTGACAAGCGATATAGAACTGTATGGCTTGCCATTGATGGTTGGATGACGTTGCAGCTCCTGCTCAGAAGCAAATTAGACCCTCAGCCAGCAAACCTGCACACTGCCAGTGTTTTGCATAACACCAAATACATTCTAGCTGTCGCTCATTTGATCCACGTAGCCTCGGTGAACCCGACATTCAGCTGGGAATAATACCAAATACAATCTGGCCAGGGCTACTGCAGGACAGAGAGGGAGAGATTTTCTGGATGCCCCGGGACTGTGAGAGGAGAGTAAACAATGCAGAATCTGGTCCCTTCCTCCCATTGTTGCTGCCGCTCTCACTGGAAGACTATTGTTTGATGAGAAGCTGATTGGCAGATGAAAGAATAAACCACCAGTGAGAGGTGTTTTCTTCAGTTTGACTATATTCACTTTAACTTTTATTCAGTAGTATAATTCCCCCCCAATTATTATTATTTTTTTAAATCCAAGACAGCAGGACAAAAAACTGCTTGACTACAAAAAACACCCGCCGAAAAAACAACACTTGAGTGAAAAATTATTTAATTAAATAAAACAGCGAGGCGCTCAGATAAAGCTCATGTGACCTACAAAAAAAGAAGCAGCTTGAAAAGGAAGCGCCTCAAAGCACTTAAACAAGCTTTTTTTTTTCCCCATTTCCCACATGGTGACTTTAGAGTATAAAGAGCAGAATATCTAAACACACAAATAGAAGCCACAGTTCAAAAGCTGTTTACATAGAAGGATGCAAATTTGTATAGAAATAGACCAAGAAGCCACATCTTTATGAAACAAACCAACCACCTGTAAGAAAATTAACTGCGTGTCACATGTTTTGGTACCAAACGAAGGGATGATTTAGGCACTTACACTCTCCAGTGGCGTGAGCTGCCTATTAGTGGAAATAAATATCAGTAAGAAGAACTGAGAACACCTGACACGAGCCAGTTAAACAGAGATGCAAGTCCTTAACCAAGAAACAATTGTAGGCAATGGCTGTTGGAAACCAACTGCAAGTAGCTACAGTGACCAACTGGTCAACTTAACCAGCAACACCCTTAGGGCAACATGTTGCAATCAATCAGTCTGTGTTGATTTGTGCAACTTGTCTGTAAAATATCTCTTTGCAATTGGGGCCTCGACTGGTTTGCAACTGGTTGCACTCTTGTTATATTCCTACATAAAATCAAGGCTGTGTTTGTTAATCATGTTTCAAATCTTCAAATCCAGTTGCTTTGAAGATGGCAACTGACTGCGAGTCGCCCATACCTGGTTCTTTCTTTGACTTGACCATTTAAAAGATTGTTGTCAAGATTGTTGTGTTCACTGCATACGACTGCAATAATTTGGACGTGCCCCAGTGTCCATCCACGGTTTTCTCTAATGTGACTGCAGCATCATGTTAAGATGCAACAGAAACGGCCGCACAAAGTGATGATTTGGCATTGTGCCCTGCTAAGAGTGACAGTCCTGTTTTATGCTTCTGGTAATTACAAGGAAATATGAGTGCATAAAGAGTCCTGACACATCAAGAAGATGATTTAGGAGTCACTGGCCCAGCATATGAAGGCAATGAGTAAATTATGTCATGTAACCAATAAATGGTTCAGGATTTACTGCAAACTGGGAAAAAATACAACAAAAACAAGGTATGCTTCTTCTTCTTATCATCATCATCATCATCATTATTATTATTATTGCACAGATAATTAAAAAAAGGAAAACATAACATCTGCTGCCACTGACCTTTTAAATAACAGCTTTTAATGTTAATATTTTATTCCAGATGTTTCTGTGTTATGATGTTATATTTATTGTGTTTAACTGTTTGGTTGATGGTTGAGTGACTTCTGCTGATTGTAGCTCTCAGGGATCATTACGATGTCCTTGACCCCTGATGTACTGCAGGTTTCAGACTCAAACCGATGACACTGTACTTCATAAACAACGCCACTGGTCTTTTTCTTTTTAGACTGAATGGTAGTTAGTAACAGTTTATGCTACATGAACATTTACAGATAAACGTGGTCTGATACATATGCTGATATCAGCTTTATTATTAGGTGATATGTGGTTAACTAATTTTTAAACTCCTCCCATCAACTGTGTTCTGAGTGTTTGAGTTTCCCACTAACTACAGAACAAACTGTGTCACTGCAGGGATAGTGTGTGATACATGAGTAATCTGCTTGTATGTATTTGTGTTATAATAAATGTCACTGCATGTATAGAGTAAACGAGTTCCTTTATCTTCTGTCCCTCTGATTTCTTCTTTCTGTTCTGTGTTCAGGTTGAATGATCTCCAAACAATAACCCATTTGAATGAGTCATGAATAATTAATTCAGATGAGAGGAGTGCATTTTACAACGAAAAGCACCAAAAGGAGTCAGGACCATGTGTGTCTGAGGTTCAGCCGTGCAAAAGATGCTGTATCTACAGCAACGCTGCAAATAAATACATCCTATTGATTTCTGTAACATGTCCACAACATTTTACAGAAAAAGCTGTTGTTATATGACTGATGAGAAACAGAAGGTTCGACAGGCCCCACTGAACCATACTTGAAGGGATCAGAGCCACGATTCAGAGTCCTTGTCTGCAGATCTTTGTTCTTACGTGAGAATAAAAATAGACAGACCACCTCCTGCTACAATCACTTGCTAAGAAAGTAATTACTAATGACAGCTACTGTTTGGTTGAAACTACACACTGCATGTGATTTAAATCACTTAACCACAGGTATGTGCATGTTGCTCGTGTAATGCTGTGGCTCAGGCTGGTATGTTCACAGACTGGCTGGACTGGTTTTGGTGGAGCTCTACACCAGAAGTTCATCATGAGAAACGAATCATTTTTACTACCGATTAATCTGCTCATTGATTATTAGCGTAATTTTAAAATTGCAAAAACAAAAGATCTTTATTTTTAAGATGATGTCTTATTAAGTTTTATTTTATCTATCCAACAGTCCAAAACTGGGGGGAAAAAAAAGGTTCAAGGTTTTGAGGTTTCTACAGAGTGCTGATGACTGATTTGTGCGTGTGTGTGTGCGTGCCTCACCCAGAGTAATGATGTATGGATGCAGCCAAGGCGTTGCCTGATCCACCAGGAAGGATACCCAGTGGTGTCCGGATGGCCTCCTCCCAATCTGGCCTCTCTAGCAGACCATTTATCACCTGACGCACACAGAAAATACAGCCTCAGTAAGGTGGCCTGAAAAATTTACTGTGTCAGCTAGACAGTGACAGATATACACTGTATGGACCAAAGTACGGGGCCACCTGCACATCAAACCACCAGGAGCTGGTGACCGTGGAAAGCCATGCAATTAAGTTTTTGCGCTGATGTTAATGCAAGAGGAGGTTTGGAACTGTAAG